GCAAGGCCTGCAAGCATCCTGCAAGCATTGCATTGCACCAAGCAAGGTCTGCGAGCTCCTGCTAGCAGCGCTGCTGATGAATTGCACTGCACACATTAAAAGCCCTCCACATCCACGGGCAAGGGCGCTTCGCCCTCCGCACGCTCCGTCCCCGGCGCTGCCGGCAGAGGGGGCAGGACAGGACAGCGCTCGCTCCGATGCTGCCCTCTGCATCCCGTCCCTGCTCCCAGATCCTCCCGCATCCCGCCAGTGCTCCCGGATCCCCCCACATCCCGCCACCGCTCCCAAATCCCATGTCTGCCCACGAGGATGCAGCCGCCGGCRGGATGCAAAATGCTGCAAACTGTGCAATGAGCTCGCCTGTTCTCTGCACCCGGGGCAGACACGTTCYGGCTTCCCGCGGGAATTTGCAAAACTCCGTGGAGGGCACACRGGTGGATCAAGCCCAAAAGCACCCTGCGAGCCCGGGCAAAAAAGCACACATTTTGGGGCAGAAGGGCAGGGGCCACTTGCCCGGCTGGTCGGGTGGCAGCACGCAGAGCAGAGCGGGTTTGGGGCAGGTTCCTGATGGGAACAGGGGCAGGGAGCTAAAAAACRTAGAGGAAAACGGCAGCAAATGAAATCCCGCGCAGATCTGCAGTATCTAGGTTACCTTAATTATGCTCTGCTAAATATGGATGCCAATTAATTAGATGGCTGCTGATTTCCAGAGAAATTAGTTTACTCTTAATGAGCTAATCAGTTCCTACTTTAAAAAAAAAAAAAGGAAAAATTATTAAATTGTACGAGGGAGCGCGTAGCCACTTGACCCRGGCTGCCAAGGTCTGCTCCGAGTGGGATATATTGGGCAGCAAGGTCTCTGTACTCAATCCAATGGGATTTCTGTGCAGAAGATCCCGTCGGAGCAGCTCTGGGTACCCTYGGATCCTGGAGGGGATCCTGTTCCCTGGGATTGTGCTGTGTTTGCCAGGAAAAAGGGAATCCAGGGGCAATGCCAGGCAAAGCTCCGGGGTTGGGAGCACTGGCAAGCACAGGCTCCGGGAAATCCGGGAAAAAGAGGCAGAGYGGAGCACTCCGAGCGCTGAGACAAAACCGCTGCTTTTTGGAATATTAATAGGAGTCAAGCTGTGCGTCGCAATTAAACCACTGATTAACAGAAACCCGGAGCTCGGCTCGTCTTCCTCCTAACCCCGTTCCCCGCGGTGGCYGCGGACGCCCCTTCCCGGCGGGAGCCGCGTCCGCACCTGCTCCAGCGGGATGACGAGGAAGGAGCCGCCGCCGGCGCTCTCGGTGACGATGGCGAGGAAGCGCGCGTTGACGGCGCAGAAGTGGTTGTCGTGCACGTTCTTGGTGATGGGGATGCCGTCGAAGCAGTGCTCCCGGTTGGCCACCTTGCCGTAGACGTTGCGGAACTTGGAGCTGCGGTACTGCGGGCGCCATGACATCTGCGGGAGCACAGAGCGTCATTCCCGACATTCCCAACGCCGCCAGCGGCTTCCCAGGGCCACGGGAACCTTCCCAGGGCCACGGGAACCTTCCCAGGGCCACGGGAACCTTCCCACGGTCATGTTTGCTATTTGCAAACGAGCTCCAATCCCAGAGGCTATTTCCAAATCATTTCCAATTCCATAGGCTATCTGCAAATCATTTCCAATGCCACGGGCTGATTGCAAATGATTCCCAATGCCACCAGCTTGCTGCAAATGATTTCCAGTGCCACTGGCTATTTGCCAATAATTCCCAATGCTATTCCCAAATTATTTCCAGTGCCATAGGCTGCTTCCCAATAGTTTGCAAGGCCATGGGCTATTTGCAAAGAATTTCCAGTACCATGCGCTCCTTTCYGACTAATTTCCAATGCTATTAGATATTTCCAAATAATTTCCAAGGCCGTCACMTCTTATTAATTTGCAGACCATAGGCTATGCAAATAATTTCCACCGCTACAGGCTATTTGCAGTGTTTCTGCCTCCGGGTTTCTGCTGGTTTTAGCAGAGCTGCCTTTGCTCTCGGCCAGGTCAAGCCCTGCTCCAGCCTGCATCCAAGCAGAGCAGTATAGGAGCAGTATAGGAGCAGTATAGGAGCAGTATAGGAGCAGTATAAAGCAATCCTGTGGAAAAGGGGGGGTCCTCCCTGGTGCAAGGCACAGGGGGCACAAAAAGCCCCCGCGCAGCTGCCACATCCAGCCCGATCCCCCTTTCCAAAGGAGCTGCTTGTCCAGAACGGGCCGCACCGCTGATGTATGTTCACGTGACACCCGAATTACGGCTTTTAATGCAATGACTCGGAAATGGGTTAATCCGAGTAACCTGAACTACGACAAAAGCTGCGTCCAGGCACGCTCCACCATGCACCCAGTACATCCATTGCATGGGATATTCCTGCCTCGGTGAGGTGGYGGCAGGGGACAAGCTGCAATTGCAATGGAAAAGCTGCATGGAAAAGCTGCAATTGCAAATGCAAGGCCTCCCGCTCTCACATCTTGCTGGACTGCTCAGATCCAACAAAACATTGTGACTCTTCACAAAACATATGCAAAGACTGTGAGCAAGACAGAATGCATAAAAATATATATATTTTTGAGTAAATAAGCTGTTTCTTTCAGTAATTTTATGGACCTGACGTTTGCCTCTCTGGGGAGGGATGCATTCCCACATCGCAGCGCATTTGCTCCTGCTCAGCCCCCAGTCTTGCCTCTTCACCCCTGCATTTCCTGCAAGCGACGCATTTCCAGGGGCCGCGGCACGGCCAGGAAGCCCCCGGGGGTATCCGGGAACGGAGTCGCCCGGCTTCATTCCCAAGGCAGGAACAGCTCCGCGTCCTGCCATTGAAACCAGGTGCGTGGGATCGGGGCGGGCAGGAAAGGGCCCGTGGATGCAGAGCTCCGCGGGGCTCCGGAGCAGGCGGCCGAGCCCGCGCGATCCCRACGGAGACGCGCCGGGATCAGCGGCTCCACACGAGCCCCGCTGCTATTTATGCACTTATTCCCACACATATATTCACATATTTTGTTCATCCCCAACGGGGTTTTGCCCCCGCACAAACATCCTGTTTCCTGGCGCGGCCGGCACAGCCGCTGGGACGGGGGGTTGCAAATGCACGGGCTGCAGGGAGGGCTCCACGTGCACAAAGACGGATGCAATTCGGGCATTTTCCCCGCACACACTTTGCATTTGAAAGAGGAGGAAGGCTGCACCGGCTCTCGCCACTCTGACTGAAACCCTCTGCTCAATGCCCGTTCCAGCAGCAAGCAGGGAGCAGCGCCGGAGCGAAGCCATCGGCATCGCCAAAGCGATGCAACCAGCATCAGRGACAAGGACAGTCCGGCCTTTTTGCACTTTTCCCTCTCTCCCTTTCCTTTACAAATTATTTGCTGGCTTCTGGTGCCAATTTTCCCAAAGGTCTGTTTTCCTTTGAAGCCTTTGATTTTCACCACAGATGATAAATCCGCTACAAACACAACTTCTCCTAACAAAAAGGGGRAAAAAAAGCAAAACGTGCAATGAAGCCCCTTGCTAAAGCCACCGCACCCGTGCGGTTTGCAGCACCTTGCAAGGCTGCAAGTTATTTTCCAGCACGTTTGCAGACCTGCAATGCACAGTTCTCCGGAAACTTGCGCTTTGAGCAAATCTCCACATTTTGCTGACAGTAATGGGCATTTCATTTTTCCATCACCTTGCTCTCAATGGCTCAGAGATTTTAAGCAAATAGGATTGATTTATTGGAGTCATTTCCCTCCATCTCTGAGAAACAGACTCACGTGCCACCGTTTCCAAGGTTCATTCTCTTGCTGCATTATTCTTGGACTCCAGTTTTCCCTTTCATTACAGAACTCCTCCTCCGCCTTTGCTYGAGCGAGCRGGCCTCAAACAAAAACTGGGAATGCTATAAAACCCTTGCAAGTAAAGTAATAAAATAAACTTCCTCCCCAATTGACGTTCAGCATCAATATTAAACCTTGCAAAGCACGTGGCTGCCGAGACATCCCGGGCTCTGCCCCAGCATTTTGGGGATGGTTGCAGTGTTTTAGGGGCCAAGCGCCACGGCCGCCTTTGCCCTCGCGTTGCGCTCGTGCCGTTGCTCCAAAGCCCGGCAAAGAAAACGCAAAAGATGGGCTTTCTTTGGCCAAAAAGGAGAGCAAAGGACGGGCAAACGGCGGGATGCAGGGAGGCGGCGGGCGCCTTTCCAGSGCGGGATTAAGGCGGTGACGCCCAAGGGAGCCGTGTCCCGGCTTGGGGACCCCGGTGCCTTGCAGCGGGATGGAGGGGCGGCCAGACGGACAGCGAGCGTCTCCCAGCCCCCGGCCTGGAGCCTTTCCCGATGCCGCCGGCAGCAGCCGGGCGCAGCGCTCGGCTCCATGTGTTTATTTTTAAATGCATCTTTTCAAGCGCCGGGAGCCTTGGCAACGGCCGCGGGCGGAGGGGAGGAAGCRGCAGCCGGGCGGCAGCGCGGGCTGCAATCCCTCCATAATCCATACRTCCTATAAATAGCGCCTTGCAACCTGCCCGGCCACCGGAGCTTGCAGGGAAGCAGCTCCCGCCCGGCTGCTCCGTGATCCCTGCGCTCCGGTGCAGCATCCACGGGCCTGTGCAGCCGAAGGGGGATGTTGCTGGGCTTGGAAAAGGCATTCCCGGGAGCGGGAAGCACTCGGACGCTTGCAAAGCATCCTCTGCCTGCACTGGAGCTGCAGAGCATCGTGCGGACAGAGCCCAGCCCCAATCGGCCCCAAATTAAACAGCTATATTTTGCTAAGGTCCCCAGGGCGGCCCAAATTAGCCATGCGATGCTTATTGTTGGGTGCACGCGAGATTAGAGCCGGAGCAAATGCTGATTTTAATCTCCTCAGCGCGGCTAATGCTCGGCTGCTTCTCAATCCAACCTTGAAAACGGCTTTTGTTCACATTAATGGCTTTGGCGCTAACGAGCCTTCAGCGAGATCTAACGTTTGGGCACATCCTGCGCTTCCTTCTCCCAAGCAGCCCAACGCGTTTGGGATGGGAACAGGCTCTTGGTCCCTGTTACTCTGCGGCAAGTTGGGGCCATCCCCTTCGCCCCCTAATTCCCGACACAGCCAAGGCCCCTGGTTGCATTTGCAGCTATAATTTCCACATTAGTGGCCTTAAAAGCAGAGGCTCAAGCGCAACCTGCAGCTGCCTGGCCATGCAGAAGGGCCTGGGGAGCAACGTGGCCTGCACACAGTGTGCACAGACTGCACGCAGCGTGCACAGGTTGCACACAGTGTGCACAGATTGCACGCAGCGTGCACAATTTGCAAGCAGGGTGAACAGTTTGCACGGTGCAAACAGTTTGCAAGCAGGGTGAACAGTTTGCACGGTGCAAACAGTTTGCAAGCAGCGTGCACGGTTTGCAAGCCCCGTGCATGGTTTGTGAGCAGGGGAATGACCAGAATCCCAGCAAAAGATCCCTGAGCCGTACAGGGAATGATGCTACTCAGGGATTAAAGAGAATATTGCAGGATATGGGAGAAGCTGCAGCTCCCAAGCAGGAAAACACAGCAGGACAAGCCATCGGCATGGCCTTCTCACCACTGTGGAGCCGACGGTGCTGCCAGCACAAGCATGGATCTTTCCAAGGAGATATCGGGCAGCCGGAGCCCTTCCCGTCTGGAAGGAAGTGCCTGGGATTTCTCCCACGTTTCACTTTTCCGTAGYTTCTGCCCGGCCTTGCCCATGGGGTTTCACCCTCTTTGCATCTTCTTGCAATAATGCTTCCTTTGGGGCAAAACTGCTGCCCAGGAGAGCACTGCACAGCGCTTATTTCCAAGCTTCCGATTTATTATTTCCAAGTTTCTCCCAGCTGGGAGCAAAACTTTTTCTTTCCAAAAGAGAAGAAAAAGGAAGAGAAAAAAAAAAAAAAAAAAAAAAAGCCAGGAAGCAAAACCAGGGCTTTCTTCTAAATGCTCCATTCAGCTCCTGCCGGCGAGGGCAGCCCCGGCGCTTCCCTTTGCCCGGGCTTTGCATCGGGAATGGCACCTTCACACGGATTGGCCTCTGCGGACGCCGCCGTGGAGCCGCGGGGCCCGGAGCAACGTGCTCCGGTGAGAACCGTTTGCAGGGCGTTGCAGCAGCTGCAAGCGAAGGAGGGTGCAAAAGCCCGGGCAAAGATCTGCCCTCGGCGCCGTGCTCCCGACCCCGTGCAACGAGGATCCCAAATGGTGCTCCATGCAGGTGCCCGTTTCGGGTGCAACTGCTGGGCATCGATGCCAGCGCCCCTGCTGCAGCTYGTCCTGAAAATCGTGTTAAAACCAAGAATTCCCATTTCTCTGGGGGTTTGGGAGTCCCTGTGAGGCTGGGTAGGAGTCTCGGGGTGTTTAAAGGCAGAAAGCGGGCCCCGGTGGGTGCAGGTCGGCCCGAACAAGCCCGCATTGAGCGCGGCGCCGGCGAGGCCGCCCCGGTGCCGCCGCGGTGCCTGGCACGGCCCCGCG